TATAATACTTTCCGGACAAATATTTCTATGAAGTAACTTTACATCATTATGTAAAAAAGCCAATCCTTCCCCGATTTGAAGTAAGCCAAACTTAATCTCGATATCATAAAATTTGTAGTCTGACAAATTCGCAGGCTGAGGCATATTAACAGTTTCCCCTAAAATATTCGCCAAACTTGCAAAAACTGGTTCAGTCGCGAACGCTAAGCTCTCTCGGCTTTCTTCCAATGGATGTTGAACAGTTAATATTCGTGGATGTCTTATTTTTGTCAGTTGTGACACACCACGGCGAAGACCATCTAAAACCATTTCTTTGTCAGACTTACTAAATTTATCCAGTTGTCTCTTTTCCAAGACGAATATAGCAGCTTCTTGTTTTGTAGATCGTTTAAAGCCTTTATAAATCTTCCAGAGTAGCCCAGGGCCTCCAGATGCAATATGAGAACTGGCATCGAATTCTCTTGTGACTGGATTTCCAGGTAGAACACCGGACAATTGTGAGACAGTACTGCTAACAGAGCTACTAACTTGGGTATAAAGTTTGTTAAAGACTTCCATATTAAATTATGGATAATTTTACAAAAAAGAAAAAGTTGAAGAAACAAAACCACTGAATGATGACATGAAGGTGTCTAAATTATCGGAACCGGGAGCTTGAATTAGGACCACAGAACACGATACGCTTACAATAGCTGAAATTATAGTTCCATACCCGCAACGCCGTACCGTAACGTTTGGAATTAACCCTACTTGTTGCGCGTGAACATTTAATAGTTCGCGTTAACGTTGCGTTAGAACGGTTACGGTACGTAGGAAATGCCCAAATCTTATTTCTTACGGTAAATCGTGCTAACGCGCTTGTCTTCGGGAGTACTCGAATAATTCAAACAGTTGAGTTTATCCTGACGTTCGTTTCGTTTATTTACAATAATTATTGACACTTTGTTGGTTATTATTATTTTGAAATGCACGTTACTCTTACTGACAGATGACATACAATGACAGAATTCGTTGCGCAAGCTGCCACTTGCCACTACGGAACTATAAATCGTATTATTTTCGTTAACGTAAGATTTTACGGTTCCGTTCTTACGGCTACGGAACTATAAATCCGGCTTTATTTCTTACGGTAAATCGTGCTAACGCGCTTGTCTTCGGTAGTACTCGGATAATTCAAACAGTTGAGTTTATCCTGACGTTCGTTCTGTTTATTGACAATAATTATTGACACTTTGTTGGTTATTTTATTATTATTTTGAAATGCACGTTACTCTTACTGACAGATGACATACAATGACAGAATTCGTTTCGCACTAATGCGCAAGCTCATCTCTTACCACTACGGTAACTATAAATCGTATAATTTTCGTTAACGTAAGATTTTACGGTTCCGTTCTTACGGATACGGAACTATAAATCCGGCTTTACACACGGTATGCTCATTATTTTTCTCAAACGCGTTTTCTACTGCGCATTACGTCACCTGCTAACGTGTGGCGCCCTTAGACCATATAGTACATGGACTGCTATTATCCCTATGCTTTCAATACAAAATGGGTGGTCACGGATAGAGGGCACTGTAGTCGTGGGTATGTGAATCTCAGGGTAAACTAAAGTTGTGTAAACACCACTCGCATCACGTAAAGAGTAGCTTTTATAGTAACCGCGTAGTACGGGAAGCTTTAAATACTCTTGATTATCTTCTATACGTCCACAAATAAGAATAGGTTTGCTTTTTTTGGAATATAGACGATTAATTAATTGACGTTTGTTAATTTATAGGTTGACAGTCTCAAATCGTGTCTAATCGGACAACTTCGGATAGACTCGTTTACCCTGAAACTCACATACCCAGGCGATGTCCTTGACCATATTTTGGTTACAATTAGCAGCTGTCAACCTATAAATTAACAAACGTCAATTAATTAATCGCCTAGATATCCCAAAAAAAGCAAACTTATTCTTATTTGTGGACGTATAGCAAATAATGAAGAGCACTTAAAGCTTCCCGTACTACGCGGTTAGGGTTACTATAAAGCTGCTCTTTAAGCGATCCTAGTGGTGTTTACACGACTTTAGTTTACCCTGAGATTCACATACCCTACAGTGACTTTATAGAGACAGTGGCGACAACAGGGTATCTCGTTTTTGATTGGTCGTTGGTTCCGGTCGCCATATTGGAGCTAAATTCCAAACTGGCCAATAGAAAGCCTTCAAAACGACGCGGTGCACTCCGTGCTATAATTATTAATTATACTGTTTTGACAGTGTCACCTGTAATTGTCACGGCTTCATGTTACTAGTTTATACTTTGCTTCTTGTATTTGCTTTATTTTACGTTTTCCGTCTCCAGTTTTATATAAACTCGATTTTTAAAGACGCATATAGTTTGGATTTATTACGATATTATAAGGTATGTAATCCGCTTAGAGTTTTTAGATGTAAAACTGTGCCTAACCTTACGACTGGTAATTGATGTAAAATTTTTTTCAGAAGCCCTAAATACCTAATGAGTTTAGATAGAAAACTGGTTAGAGAAGCAGCTTATCCGAAATTTAGCAGCAAATTCAATTGTGATCGTAAATACGTTTGAATTGGTTTCATGTTTGCTGGAGCACATGGAATATTGATCTCTTGTACTCCGTAGACTAGATCAACGTGTTTTGTCTTCCATTTAAGAGACTAAAGAAATACTTTTAAGTCCGGAAGG